TGATCTGTCTGCGACGCTTACTTAGCACATCAAACTCCACACAGTCGAGCGTGCGTTTTCTAGAGTTGAAAACGTCACAATTAAACGACAGAAAGTCACCTGTTTCGGTAACATCTTTAGTGCATTCAGTTATCGGTGGTGACGGTGAAAGCAATAGATGCTGGAATCCGTACATTCCAGTTACGGCGACGCCATCCGCAATGTAGGCAGCTGCTTGAGAATCATTATCTGAAAGACGTGAAACAAAATCGTCAGTAAAAGTTAAATAACGCAAAAAAATATTACAACGAGTTTCTGAACTTCCTAAAACAAACAGTTATACGAAGAAATGATATCCTGAAAGACGATCATATAACAAGGTCTAGGGAAACTGCGCAGTCAACTAATACGAGAACAAAAGGGTCTCATATCTTCTTCATGTATGACATCCATATCGACGTCATTATCTCTGGTATACGATTCCGAAAAGGCGTTATTTTGGTGGTTTTCCCTCGGATCAAAAGGCGGGTAAAGGCCTTTTCTTTGTAACGTGAGCGCCTGCCGCAAGTAGGTGCCGCATTCCACATGCCCACAACTTTCGGCTACGTCCGCGGGTGTTTGACCTCGTTCATTCGCTACGCTAAAGTCATTTTTGAATAAAATACTCGTGGAATGAAATTTTTCGTATTAGCAAAACATTTAAAAGACGAACGAACGTTTTTCATTTCCTCTGGTCATCTACATAGTGCGGCCTACCTGCATCTGAAATATGACCAGAAGAAACTGATTAACGTACAAACCAAATGAAAACTTATCCAGCTTTTAACAGCACAAACTGTGAACTAGAAAGCAGTCATTACCTTAGATCGCTACCGCATCCTATTAACATTCTTAAGCATTCCACATTGCCGCAACGAGCTGCTTTGTGGAGTGCCGTTTCGCCCATAACGTCCTATAACAATATTTGCATCATTATAAAAGCATCACGCAAAAAATATACAGCCTCGAAATGGAAATAAAGCAATGGAATATTGAAATACCCATGAATTTGCGATAGGGACGACTGATATTTTGTAAAATTTTTAAAAACGACTTCAACGCTAAAAAATGCAATGGCTTTCACTGTTAAAAACAGAGATCGCTCACTTTGGCTTTAATATCCGATCCCGCATGAAGAAGCAAATTTAGGCAATCAACATTTCCCAACAAAGCAGCAAGATGAAGAGGAGTTTCGCGGTTCTTTACTGTCTGTAAGTGAACGTACGCTTGCTTTTCTTGCAGAATTGTGGTCAAAGCTGACAGCTAGAGGAAACGACTGAACCCACACTGTTGACAATGCCATTCGGTACTTACACATCCCAGGTAGGCTGCGCAGTGAACCGGCGTCCATCCTTGAAAAATCCCATCACGAACGATGTAATAGTCGCCCTGGAGACGAACCAAAATTTGGTCTATGCCTTCAGCATCACCAGCTTTGACGGCATGACTGAGCTGGCTCAGCGCCATCTTCTCAGAAACGGGCGAATGGGTGTCAATTAGATGCATTGGTTGAACGCTGAAACATGTTTGCATAAAACGCAGAGGTAGCACTAAACACAACGATCGATCGCCGCGCTAACGCAAACGCTTCGTCAGTCGGTCGGTCTTTACTTGTCATATTAATCGAAGTGTGGTCAAAATTCTGGCAAGAAAATGAACAGGCCAAGATTACGTAAGGAAGGGAGCCTTTCTTTACCTGCTTTACGTTAACTCAGTCAGTCATGCCTTTCATGTCTCTTGAGATCGACGACCAACGATGTGAGAAGGTTTTGATTCTTGTCACAAACCAGAGCGCAAGGTTGGAGAACAGAATCCTTTTAGCCGAAACTGTTCTGATTCTTTGCGGCACAGTTGATTCGAAGTCCGATTTCAATATTGCCACCTTTCGTTCGGCAGAAGAGCTGAAGTTATAGCCCAAAGAACGATAGACACGAACGTTTATGATCTTTCGTAAGCGCGCGTTTCTTCTATCACAAAGTCAAGCGAACTCTTTTTAACGAACGTCAAGGTAAAGAACTTGTTTACCGCCGAAACGGCAGGAATATACAGTCATTAGTTACTAAAACGGCTTGACTGCAGCATCGAAAGGCCAAAATACCTACTGCACATTGTACACAAGTACAGGCACGTAAAACAAAACCAAAGTACAGAAGAAACAACTCCAAAACCGCATCTGCACCGTTACGTATGTTAAGTATGCCGCAGCAAAATAACAGTAAAGCACAAATATATAAATTTATAGAAAATGCTACCAGCGACGCTAAGCTTCAGTCAGTCGGTCATCTTCCACTATACTCCATGCTAATTCAAAGCGTTTATCTGGCTACACGAAACAGCTCGCTACAAACACCACACGCCGCTGCGAAACAACGATGACAACTAACCGCGCTCACCGCTTCCTTGACTACGCATCATTTTTGAATGCACCTGAATACTACCTACAAATCAGATATGAATCGGCAGAACTTAAGTCTTATAACAAATTGCTTCTGTGGAATGCGTTATAACGAATACTCAAGTTCGCTTTCAGCATAAAGCAATCTTTTACATAGCTATCCTGCATTTATAAAACCATTTTTAATTAGATATCTTAAGCTAAAAGACAGCATTTTGGAAGTTTTCTTACTAATCTCTGAATGAGTGTTTTTCTCATTGTTTATTCAGATTAAACTCTCATGAA